TAGTTGCTTTAAGGCATAGAAATAACTTTCCCTCATTCCCTTGCAACTAACGCACACCAACTCAGCTCCTCTCTCCAGCCTCACTGTATGTCTTATTTGTAAATCATTTCAGAGTGGGGCAACATCAAGGCATGAAAGTGGCAAGACAGAGTCCTATGATTCTTTTTGATCAGGTAGACGTTAGCCTGGGGATTGATCATGTGATTTTGCGGCTTTTTATCAATCCTATTCATTCCAGGGTTAACCAGCGTGCATGTTTGATTTTCATGTCGACTTGCGATGTTGATGAGCTTGATTTGGACATGTCTAAGTCAGGCGATCGCGGGGGTGGGGGGTGGGGCTGAATCGTATCTCTCCTCGAGGCCAACAAACGGAAATCCACACAAATTAGGGGCCTGGGTTTTCATTCTCGTCCCCATCCTTTGCTGAGTAGAAATTCCCCTGAAATGTATTCCGCTTTTACAGGACGTTGTGCTTAGGTTCCTGAAAGGGGCGGCTGGAAATGAAAACAGAACATCCAAAGACAGAGGTTTTGGTCCCACGGGCTGAAGCCCGAGAAGTACAAAACACCCTGGGACAGGATAGGCTTCCAGTCTCGGCCATCCCTCGCTCTCCCTTCCGTGTCCTGGCTGCACGAGGAGGCCAGCGCCTTCCTCATTTCTTACTGGATGTGGTGTCGCTGCACCCGGGCGTGACCTTTTCACCACTTGGCCTACATCTTCTGAGCCACTCCTTAAATGTCACCTGCTTGCTAAAAATAACCGGAGGGTCTCCTTATCTTGCCACGCACGAGCCCTCCGTGCCCTTCCAAATACGAAACAACCCTTCTTTGTCTGTGCAAGCGATGACGATGTTTCTGCTTTGTACGCCTCGCAAACATGGTTTCTTGGCGGTTTTCGTGACGCTGAAACCAGATACAAAGCTCTTGCCTTAGCAAGTTGTAGGGAGCTCACGGTACATGACTGTAGTTAAAATGAGCCTGCTTTGAAGTTCACCTTAATTTAACGTGCAAAGATTTGTACGTTTATCCCTCCCAGCTTTTTTGTTTTAGAAAAGCCTGTGATATATATTTTTTTTACAAAACGGCGTCGTGTTTTTTTGTTTTCCGACCGCATAAGTGGGTGATGCACGCTCCAGAGTGCAAACCTGCAATGAGCAGATATCCTAGCACTCTGAGAAAAGCGGATGTTTCCGTTTCAAGAATGAACAATTTAACAGCAGTCTCATCGCTTTTCAAAGATATTAACTTTGCAATGATGCTCTAAGAAAGTACGTGGGGATCCATTTTGCAAAAAAGTAACTGACAAATCATTTCAGGTCACACACCCTTAACCTTTAGTATGGCCACTTTTGTATAGTTTTCCAGGTAACTGCCTTTGTGGGACTCAGGGGCATACTGACTGCAGCTTTGTTATAGGGACATCAACTGTAAGATGTGCACTTTTCCCTCACTGATGTATTAATCAGCTCTACCATGCCTTTAATGTCTTTGATATTGCAAAACTGCATCAAACCCTGAGCCCTTACAGAATGCAGAACTGTCAAACACTAAAAAACGTTTTGCTGTGTTCTTTCATCTTAGTGATCCTCATTTCTGTATCTGCGAGCTCAAACACACCCAGATTCTTTGAGGTTCTGCTTTGTCAGGATTTATGTGGTTTCTTCCAAATCACTGTGGATAAGATACTAAAAAAGATAAGAAACGTTTTTAAGTGAGGTGTGTAGCTATGGAATTAATTTGCTCCCATTTAAAGAGTTTTCTTATTCTTGGATAATTCATCAGCTGCATTTTTTCTTAAATGAAGATGGATCTAAAACATGTCCATTAGGTTTTCCTTCCAATGCAGTGTGAGAAAGAATTAATCTGCATTAAGAAACATAAGAATCAGAGAGCTGGGTAACCCTTTTTAGATGATCTTGGTGCGATCACCTTCTTTGATTAAACCCAGGAAGGGGATTAGACATACATGTTTTTAGCTCACGTGATTTCTTGTCCTTTGTCACATAAATACAAAATCGCATGTCTCAGAAAATTCCATGGTTGCTATGGCGACGCAGCGTTGCCGTGGCGTTGATCTGTGTGAGTTGCCGTCGAGTGGCTTAAACTGAATCACGTCGTTTGACACTTACTGTGAAGTTATCACCACCTCCGGCGATGTGATCAAAAGTGTTTGTCCGGTGCACTGGGCTGCCCAACATGTGCACTTGGTGCAGAGAGCTGAGGGAGCCTTGTTTTTCTGAGAACCCGGCTTTCAGTTCTCTGCCAGTGGGCAAGCAGAGTGATCTTAGTCTGGCAGTGGTGGTCTCGGTGAAGAAGACTGCCCCCCCAGATCGCATTGTGCTCGAAGACATGCGCAGGACCAAAAGGCTTGCCTGGCTGGGCGTTTCAGCTGGTGTCAGCTCCGCATTCGTGAGTCCTGGGAAAAAAACTCCTAGTAGGCCACACTATGGGCTGGGCAAAGTGGATGTTTCTTTCATTTGGCAAGTGCTCGTGCCTGTTTGTGCATGTCTTCTTCCTTGCTATTGTGCAGTTATGGGATCCCTCAGAAGAATAAATAAAAAACGAGAGGAGACTGTTCGACCCATCTATTTATATATTTTTTGCCAATTAGTAGCTAACTGACCTGATGGTCTTATCCGGACTTTTCTTGTCTGAAGCTAGGACATCAGCTTCAGCAACATAGCTTGGTGTGTTCCGCTTGGGTTAAGAAGTGCCACCTATTCCCATTATAAATGCAATCCCACATGTTATCTCATTTCTTCATCTGGTTTGTCTTCCACTGCTCATTCTGAAGAAAAAAAGCTGGCTGGACTTTTGTCAGGGTCTTTAAGGATTTTGAATACTTGGTATGAGGTCCCCTCTTAGGCTTCTCCATTCACAGAAGGCTGAGTTCATCCAGCCTTCAGAACTATCATTATCTTTTCAGCAGTGACCCAAACTGTGCACAACTGGACCCAGTTTGCGGGCGGTGGCTCTGTGCTGTGCAGTCAGTGGAAGTGTAATGTCATGTATGCCCCCTGCATGAAAAGCTTTGGTTTCCCTTTTGCGCGCTGAAGGTGTATCTCGGCTCGTGTTAACAGCGCACAAGATGAATCGAGTTTCCAGAGCCTTGTCTTCCACACGGCTTGCATGTGTGGGTGATGAACTGCCCTTCCTCATTCCTTTTTCCTGTGTTTGTGAGCACAAACACGCCAAATTCTCAAGTTCTGATTTGACTGGATTTATGTGGTTACGCCTGAATCGCTGTGAATATGATAAGACACATTCATATACGAGGTGCCAATATGTAGAATGAATTCGTAATTTTTTAACTGCAATTTTCTTAGTCTTATTTGGTATCTGCATCTGAAATGCGTTTTTCAAAAGCTTATTGGCATCTTGAGATGTTTTTCTCAGCCTCAGAATTCTGCTGAAAAATGTCATGTGTGCTAAGCATCCAGTTACAACAGAGTTACAAGTACAAATAAAATAAGCTTTGCTATTGTACTATGGTATATATTCCAGATTGTGTATCTGCACCAGCTAAAATATTGTGGTATATATTTTTAGGTACAGTTTTTATCACTCTGCTTTGCTGTATTTTTGTCACCATTGTCACTCTTGTGTGTTGTTTTCTGAAGATTGGGGAGGTTTGGTAACCTTCCACAGAGTTAGCATTCATACTGTACCTAGGTGAAATGTAATAAATTGGTGTACGATAGTCCTGGAATGTTTGTACTGTGCTGGAGATTTGGGGAAAAAAATCGTAGTTTCTTTTTCAAATAACAACTCTGGGCACCACGGATACATTTATATTCTTGGCTCAGAGCTTCCCGATCCTGTGCTAGAATTACCTTAAAGAGAGCAGCTCCTCCTGCAGTTCTGTGTGGCTGCCAAAGTGCTGGGTGGCTTTTTAATGAACAGTCAGTTCATGGTAGTACAGAGCTTCACAGGAACCAGAGCTGTATTGTGACAGAATTGGTAGGTTTGACATGGTATTCTGAATGGGCTTCAGGCTCTTCAAGTGAAGTTTCTTGGACTCCAGCAGAGCAGAATTGCAGTTACTGACATTTAAGGTAACAAAAGGCCTACAGGAATGTGTCTGTCCTAGTCGCAGACAGCAGTTCTATTAACCTTAGCTCATTTCTGACAACTGCAGGCTGTAGGCCTACATATCCATTTCAGGAAATGGACGTGCAGTATGTAAGTGCCATTTAAAAGAAAATAAAACCGAAAACTCCATATACTGTACATATTTCTTCATTGTGTCTGTAAATACTTTAATTCTCTTACTTGCTTTAGAACCAGTGATTGTATAATTTTGTGACGGCTATTTTTAAGAATCTGACACGTTAAATAAGCATCACATTTGCTGCATAGTGTCGTGGGAGATCTCCTTTCAAAGTCGCTGACTAAAAACTGCTCGGTGAAATGATTCTTAGGTGCATCTTCCCTTCAGTTTCTTTTGAAGGTTTAGAAAAAGAAAATGGGCCTTACAGGCTTTGCTTTTTGAAACAAGGTATGGTGTCAAAGATGTCTCTCCTAGATTTTGAATGTATTTTAAAAAAAGTTAGTTTATATTTGTTATTGCTGCAGTAAATAAAAAAGCCTTCAGTGGGTTCAGCCTATCAGTCATTCATTCTTTTTAGAACTGTTTGTTTTTTGGTTATGCTGAGGTTGTGCTATTTCTCCTGTAGCACTTTAATAAGAATAGGGAAGATCGTGCAGGATAAATGTCCTTTGACTTTGTTGCATTTACTTGTAGAAAGTTTAAAGGGTGTTGTGGACACTGTTAAGGCATTTTACAGCTGTCAGAAGGAAACACTGGAAGGACTATATTCAAGATAATCACCCCTCCTTTGTTTGGGTTCAATCCTGGGGGAGATCAAATCGATCAATAACGGGGCACTTGTACCGTCCGAGTCAGAAATGTGCGTTTTCTTGGGGGCGTTGCTCTCCCTTGGCTGCGCGGACAGGTGTCCCTGACTGACCTCTGGGCCGCTGTGTCTTCTGCCCGCAGGACGACGGGGACGATGCCCACCGGATCGCCCCCTCTCCCGTGGTGCACGTCCGCGGGCTGTGCGAGTCGGTGGTGGAGGCCGACCTGGTGGAGGCCCTGGAGAAGTTTGGGACAATATGGTAAGACGACGGTTTGGTTGGCATCTTCACGTTGCATTCGACTTTCATGAGCTGTGAACCCTGGCAAACCCCCCAAAAAACATGACAAAAAACTTCAGTGACGGTTTCTGAAGAATTATATCAATGCTTGGGTGTGGCCTGTGGTTTGGAAATGAGGGAAACCACTTAAAATAGGCTGGTTTATTACACATCTAATTACAATTTAATAGATATGATATAACTAAATCTGCTGTGTTATAACCAAAATAAAAATGTAAGAAATACAGAGGATTCCTTTTGTAATGTTTTTAAAATACATTTTCAATCCTCTAATGGCTTATCAAAAAGTCCAGAAAAATATCCTGCGCATATGGCACTAAATGACATATATTCAAAGATTTTTTTTTCTAGGATCTAAATTAAGCCTTTCAGTAGTTTAAATTAAACTCTTTTTAGCGCAGTATAGAAATCAGCATTCAGAGTTTTCATGCCAATTATACCTCCAAGCATTTTCTTAACCTAATTAATTTATTTCAAGTGCAGCACAGAAGAATGTTTTCTGCAGCTTTCTTTCATTTCATTTTTTTAATCGCTGTGATCAAGAGTGCATACTTTTGAGGTCACAGCAGATTGTGCTAGATAACCATCATTTTGCACTGCGTCTTTTTTGATACCCTGAAGTATTTTTTCTGTGTTGCTACTGTGTATTTGTACTTCTTTAAAGAAAGACATTTGCTTATTTTAAATAAATGCATAAAGTGCTTAGAAACTGGAAGTTTCAACTGGTGTTGTTTTAAATAATAGTCCTACAGAGCATTCTGGTTTATATAACTGGAAGATAAAGGTCTCATACTCTTGTGCCTCTTTAATTTTTTTCTTGTTTCTGATCTAGACTACGTATTCAAATGACTCAATTGAACATCAGTTCCAATGTCTGACAATCTCCTTAATTAATGACAAGCCTTCTCTTTTTCCTTTTGACACAGTGCTTCAGAGAATGTCGCTGAAGTTTGTTGCAGATTTTTTTATTTGCAAGAATTTACTCTTCACGACAGTAGATTAGAATGTTAACTATTTTACCCTAACACAGGAAGTCTACACGTTATTTATAGGTAACACAGGGCAACATCCAGGTCTTGTTTCTAGAACGACCAGAACTTTTTTCCATGTTTATTATTTTCTCACAACAGAATAAAATACAGTGGCTGTGTGGTTCAAGTGAAGGATGACCTGACTGTGTGTGCTGCAGGGTATGGATTACTAGGGGGTGCTGTGGTGTGATGTGGCAGTGTAGCACTGTTCATAAGCAGGTCTCGGTAAACAGACACACAGATGCAGCAAGGTAAGAAACAGTGCACCCTACTTTAGAGCGTGAGGGAAAACAAACCGGAAGACCACAAAACAACAGAAAATATCTTTAGCAGTGCTCTAACTGTACTGCTTTCTCCATTCTTTAAATATAAATAGGCAGCTTCACTCTCAGCACTAAAACAAAATTCTGCCAAAAATAAAAACTCATGCTTCAAACTTTTTTTGTCTATTGGCCATCTCCTCACTGCTCTGCTCCCATCTCCCAGTGTTGCAGTGCATAACAGAGGCTCTGCTCTTTATCTAAAGAGCAGAGGTCAACAGCCGACTGGTAGGCACTGCTTCCTGGGTTTTAAGAATTGGAGGGAGACAATTGGTCAGGTGACGGAGGATGGCAGATCATTCTCTGCTGCTGCTGCTTGGGAAATGTAGTTCAGACAAGCATCTCCCTCTTGTCTTCGTCTCCCATCCTCTTACCAGCTTTAAAACCATTTAAAATAAGCTCCGCAAATGCAGCCAGAGACAAGGTACAGATTTTACGGATGGGGGGAAAGAGTTAATCATACAAAATGATATTGTATACCCTCTCACCTTTGAAGATGGCTGCTCGCTTTCTGGTATAACGCCTGTGAAGTGCAGTATACCTTGTGAAGGAAACGGGAGTCAGCAGGCCGCCTCTTCTCGTTTTGGTTTTCCAGCTATGTGATGATGATGCCCTTCAAGCGGCAGGCCCTGGTGGAGTTCGAGGGCCTGGAGAGCGCCGATAAGTGTGTCGCCTGTGGAGCCAACGAGGCCGTCTACATCGCGGGGCAGCAAGCCTTCTTCAACTACTCCACCAGCAAGAGGATCACCAGGCCCACGAACTCCGACAACCCCAACAGCGGCAACAAGGTGCTGCTGCTGTCCATCCAGAACCCGCTGTACCCCATCACAACGGTAAGGAGATTTGCGGTCTGCTCCCACTTTTTGGGAGCGGATTCCGACTTAGAAGTGTTCAGCCCTTATCTCATAGTTTTGCAGCCGAGCGCAGACAACCCGTGTGTTAACCTCAGCCAAGCGCAGACACCCCATGTGTGAACCGTATTGGAAGAATCGGCATGCTGCACTTGAACTAAGGCCAGCTAAAGAGGATGACATTTTTAGCAACGGAGCGAGTTTTCAAAGACCAGCCTCCTGGCCTTCTGGTCTGGCCTTCTTTTATGTCCTAAATTGTCATATTGAAATGTCTCCTATGCAGAGGTGAAAAACATCCAGGAGGGCAGGTGTTCCAGTTTTTTTTTTTTGCATGGCTTTAAGAAACGTTCACATTGGTAGACTGAAGATTTTTTTTTCTAGGCAAAGAAGTGAGGTTTTCATTTCCTCAGCGACAGTAAACCAGTTGATTAAAACTGTTAAGATCTTTATGGAAAAAAAACTAAAATAACGTTTTGTTTTTCTTTTGGAACAATCAAAAACATACGCTTTGGTTGAAAACTCTGCAGAGCAGAAGGCTCTGAGTGCTTTGTTAGTGGAAAAGTCATTTCGAAATGAAAAAACAAAAGTGAAAACCTTGAGTGACAAATCAGAAATGCAGGATTTGAATGGTTCATTTCTTGCTGTGAAACCACAGATATGTTTGTGTGATCACTCAACCATATTTTTATCGTTTGTTTTTCCTGTTTTCAGAAATAATTCTTGTTCACATTGATAACATTTCTTGTGATTCCTCTGACAAGAACAGCACTCAACAGCCCCTGAGTTTAGGAACAAATAAACATTTATTCCATGCTGGAAAGTGAAGAAAAGAAACACAACATTTAGGCTGTGGAGCCTTCTTCACCTGAAGGGCCTACACAGCTACCCACTTGAACTACTTCAGCCCCTATGTTTAGATTCAAATTCCAAAAAAACTAAACTTAGTGACAATGGAGTATGATACAGTGAAATGTGAAGATACCTTGCATTACTGCAATGGCTCTTCTTTTAAACTATTCAATATACATTATTTAGGTCTGTCACATTCATGTGTAAGTGTAGGCATGTTACATTGTTTCTTCTAACACATACTTAAGTCAAAAGTACAAATTCTGCACATATTATCTTCAGGAAACATGCCTGAGATCTTAATCTCACATAACTGCAGGATATGCCTATATACAGAACTGTATACTGTAAATCTATACTGCACCATTTTTACAAAGACGTTTTCCCCAAAAAAATTATACATGAAGCAGTCTGTGACCACTCTTAAGAAAAGAAGAGCACAACAGTGTACTTGAAGATGCCAACGATTGAATTTAATTAAGTCCAGGAGGTGGAGAGCAGGGAACTCCCCCACTTCGCACTATGCTGATTAGCCCAACAATTACATCAATTGTAACTCTCTGTCATGAGATTCATCTCTTACATGCATAGAGCCCTTGTGCAGATATGGGGCTTGTGTAGCCCTAGTGTTTTGTCTTGAAGTAGATTTCTGCAGATTGTGGGGACAGATTCTGACAGAACTGTTTTGTATAAATATGTCTCTGCCCCACAGTTTTACAGCACGTTACGTTTCACCACGTCGTGGCTCATTAGATCTAGTGCTCTGGATCAGCCTAGTCAATTCACGGCAGAATTAATGCAAACATGGACCACTCCATTAGACAGTGAGTCAGTTCTGCCAGTGCTGAGGAGTAAACCTTCTCTTCTGGGAAAAAAAAAGAAATACTGCTTAAACTCTTCACCCTTAATTTTCAATTCTTGGCTTAGACACCTTAGATCTAAAACCCAACAGATTTGTAATTTGGGCAGCCAGACTGCAATGCAGCTATGACGAATCTTTCAAAGACACGACTCCCTCCACCTGTCTCTCAGCTGCTGTGTAAGGATCCATCTCTGAAGACAACTCTTTTATTTCCCTCTGCAGACTTTTCGTGCGTTATCGATAATGGTACAAGTATGATGAGAAAGCAGTGTAAAAATATTGTGCTGGTGCTATTAAAATCTCATGCACACAGAAAAACTTTCAAATAATTTTTCCTAATAATTAAATTTCTAGTTACAGTAGACAAGAAATCTGTTTCACCACAATTTTGGGGTTTGACAGACAGTTATACTTAAAATGTTATGAAAATCAAATTGGATACAAAAAAGCTCATTGGTGATCAAACCCATCGTTTTTTTTTCTCTTAGCTTGGTCTACAATTGGCGGGTTTGTTTGATTGGCTTTGATTACGTGAGGTCTGCTGTTGTCGATGTTTTCATCCCGATTTTTTTTCTCCCCGCAGGATGTCTTATACACAGTGTGTAACCCCATCGGAAACGTCCTGCGGATTGTCATATTCAAGCGGAATGGGATTCAAGCCATGGTGGAATATCCTTTTTCCCATACTCCTGTCCGGGGCCAGAACGGTGGGCCGTAGGGGTGGGCAGCTGAACTGGGACCCCTCCTTCTAGCTTCTAGCCGAGAGGTGCAGGGAGCTCCCACTTCCCCTGGTGGGTCAGATCTTCTGTCTTACCGCCACACCAGGTGCACATTTAGACTTCCTGTAAAGGAGCCGTTTAACACCTGGCTGAATACCGGAAGGTAAATACCACCACACACGCATTAATGTGGAAGCTCACCTTAAACCACCTTATTTCTTAATGTTTTATGGGGCCTGTGCTAGACAACTTTAGATTCCTTTTAGATTGGGAACCCTTTTAGATGTTCAGTCATAAGGCTCATTATGGGACGCGTTCAATCACTGATAGGTCCCCCCCCCCTCCCCCCCGGCCCTCTGAAGTCGTGGGAGATAAGCTCTTCTCTGTGAGGTTCAGGACCCTCTCCAGCCAGACGTGTAACCACAGGCCGACTTTGCTGAGTTACGACTGTGAGATCCTGCTGATGTGCTGTGAAGCACGAAGGGCAGGAGAAGCGAAGCTTCTGCTGCTGTGGTGTTGCCGCTGCACCACGCACAGAGGGCACAGGCTGCATCTCGGCGTCTCTGGAGAGAGGAGAGTCCAGGAGGTGCCTGGGTCCTTGCCCTCCTGTAAATGGGGACTTGAGCTAAAGTCGTTTCCTTGTGTCCGGTTCGACGTCAGCAAGTAGGTAGCGCTGGAGTGAATTAGTTATGGTTCGGAAGAGACTTCTTGTTCGACCGTGTCTGGGCCAGTGAATGCGGGCGAGTTCTCGGCAGGGGTCTTTGACATCAGCTGTGGCAGTGGGCCCTGGGACAAGCACATGGTCAGTATATTAACCGAGGGACACACCCCACTCCCCCTTTTTATTGTCACATGCCTGTTATCTAGGGAAAACCGGGGACGCTTTGCTCGGCTTCTTCCCATGGCTGGTGTGATCCAGGCGTTGCTCAGCATGTTCAATCGCTAGACGTCAATCGAGGACCATCATCGTGTTTTTTTCAATTGGCGTGCGTTTTCGTGCTGTGCTTCGCGCTCTTTTGGCACTGCCCTTGACAAAGTCTTCTCTCCTGTTGCCTGCTCGTTAAGTTAACCGCTCAGTTGCAAAGCACACCCCTTCTCCTCAGGGGTAATTCGCGCCGACGGGGGCTGTAGCGAAATCGAGAGTATTTGCCGGGTCACAACTACTCCTTAACCTCCAAATGTACATTTGAATCAGTCCAAAGTGCTCAGAAAGCAAAGGCAGCCCTCAACGGAGCAGATATATACGCTGGGTGCTGCACGCTGAAAATCGAGTATGCCCGGGTAATTATTCCACCCTTCCAGTTTCACTCATGCTTCCGATTTCTCTTGGAAACAGATATGCTGTACAGCAAATTTTGTTTTTGTTTTCCCTGTAGCCAACCCGCCTTAACGTAATAAGAAATGATAATGATAGTTGGGACTACACTAAACCGTATTTGGTTAGACGAGGTAAGAGTCTTTTTCTTCGCTGTGCTCTTGTCCGTCTGTGCTTCAGTGCGTTCTGTTTGCTTAGAGAAGCAGCAGGTTAGGCAGGCCAAAAGACACAGCCTGCAGACACGAGCAAAATTATTTGTACGTCTGACGCAGTCAAAACCGCTCTTAAAGAACCCTTCAGGATGTCTGCTCGGAGAAGGCATATTTAAAAAAAAATTGGATTAAAGTAGTGGTAGAGGGAGAGAAACGGGCAAGAAATAAAATGTTTCTCACCCCTGTAGTGGTTCTTTGAAGATTTTGTATTTGGTCTGCCCTTGCCAGTCGTGCTGGGCGCTAACAGGCAGTGAAATTTACCTGTTTTTTTTTTCTAGTTTTGCCTGCGTCAGTCAAAATGAGGCTGAATTCTTGGATATCCTAGTGCTCCAAGAAGTTTTAAAATTGTTTCTGTAATGTGCCAAGGTGAACCACTGCGCTATTCTTTTTGTTCAATAATGATGGCAAGTAATAAACTCCGAGCAATGTAAGCTGTTTCTGGCCACCCCCTGCCTTAGGTTAAGAACGTGTAGCCTGCTCTGTGACTTTAGCTGCCCCCACTGCTTGGTGTAATGGAAAAAAGTCAAAGCGGAACTCAGGCATACAGACAAGCCAGCACACAGTTTCTCCAAGCAACACGCTCAGGTTCCAAGAGGCTGAATTAGGACTGATTGAGCACATAGTCCAGACTGCACTGCCCTGCACGCTGCCACACTGAGGAGAGGAGAGAGGGGAACAGAGGTTGAGATGGATTCAGAAGGGACTGCAGCCAGGCAGACTCTGCACAGCAACATGCACTCACAGCCAGCCCTGTGCGTGAGCGAGCTCAGACCTCCCATTCATCCTGACTGCATGCACCGCCTCAACACGCCACGTAAGGAAGGAAACTCCCCGTACGAGGAGGGCTGCCTCCTGACAGACTGGGCTTCGGCCTTAAATTCCCACCTTCTTGGACGATCAGTCATCTTGCTAAACATGCTTTATTGAGCCGCCATCTTTTTACTCAGTCTTGTGTTAAAGACATTTCTTTTAAACCAACAACAGTGTAGTGTTGCTATGAAAGGTGTAGAATTTTCTAGGTTGTATCAATGCTAGATAAATATGATGTAGTCTGAAACTGGAACTGAAGAATAAAGCATTTGGAAAATGAAAAACCAAAAGACTGGATAACTGTGCATTGTTATCAGCGGTATTAATAACATGACCTGTTCTGTGTCACTAGGATAAAATACAAATACAAGTCATTTTATTGACTTTTTTTGCTAAGGGTAGTTTGCAATAAGGCCTCTAAGAATTCTGTGAATTACATGTCAAAGGTGAAGGTTTTTATATGCAAAACCATCAGCATTAGTGTCTTGGGGATTCAGCCCCTAAGATAGAAATGATGATTGGGATACCATACTGTACTTAAAGCTGTAATGCCTCACTAATATAAAATGTTGTAAAAGCTACACAAATGTATTTCCATACTGTCGCCAGTAAGGATAAATCTGCCTTTTTTACATATACTGTAGACACGGATGCATATTCAGTTAGCTTTATGTATTTTCAAATGTTCCTTTATGAGGTGTATGATGTCATTTGAGAGTAAGAACTGACATTACAGCTTTATTTCTTGCATGCCTTCGTCATAGGAGGAGTACACTGAAGCTCTGTGAAAGCCAGGGGTGGCTAACAGCCTCTCACTTTCCTCTGTACTCATTGTGGAATCCTGCTGAACTCAAGTGGATTTAGTTTGTACTCATAAAAACCTCTCAGCTTTGTCGCGGTCGGGTGTTTGCAAGACAGCTGTACAATGTTGAGTTTAAATGAAAAGTTGGTAAAAGATATTTTACAATTTACCTGAAACCAATGTTAATGGAGCAATGCAGAATTGATTAAAGCCTCTGCTCTCGATCCTAAAAGGCAGGATCATCCACAATTTAAACTGTGAAGTAGTTTTTTTTGACTCCATGTAAAACACTTTTTCAATTCAATTTTGAAGCAGTTTTTTGGTACAGAATTGTTTTTAGGAGCTTGCTGATTTGATTTGCCTCCTGTAGTTCCAAAGCTCAGCTCTTTCTGGTTCATTTTCAGCTAACTCTGAGGGGTGCTTACTAACAGCAAATATGTTTTTGAAGCGCACCTGTACTAGATTTGATTCCCAAAACCTCCTGCACTTTCTGTTTATCCCTGAAGCCCAAGTATAAGCTCACAGCTTAGAGTTTTTTTAAACTATTTTTTAACTGTTTACAGAAAGCACCTGAGTGGGGTACACATACTGTACAGAATACAGACTCAGAATAAGTAATATGATGTTGATGCAGCAGTCTGCTGTGTTTAATCTTGCCTTTCTTTGCCTCAGATTTCACTAGTGAACTATTTCACTGTTTGAGAACATCTGCTTATTAACAGCGATGCATAAGCAGAACAGGAAAAATACAGGTATATATACCAGTATGGAATGCCAGAGGGAGACTGTTTTAAACACAGATGTAGTTGAGGCAGTAGGTTTTTCTTGAATGATAAGATGGGTTATGTACTCCTTAACCCACTCGCGTTGTGGAAGTAACAATCATTTTGAGTTTTGAACAGATTGGCAGCTGCACTGTTGCATTTAGCTAAAGTGCTAATGATTGTAAAAGTCACAAGATCTCACAACATACAGATTGGTCCTGCCACTGTAGTGACCTGTTTACCACAAAGGAGGGTGGTAGGAATATTTGCCAGTAGACCACTATGAAATAAAATTAAATGAAGACTTCAAGATGTACAGGGATACATTTAATGTAAAAGCTGCTTTGTGCTCTATTCACCTCGTTGCCAGGGGTCCACATTTTAAGCACAAGCACTTTCCGGAGGCAGTTCAGAAAACAAATTAAAACCAAGTGTCTTGCAGTGTGGATTTTCACGAGCTGGGAAGTGACCGGCAATACCCACTTGAAAAGCAGGCTCTTTATTCAGTTCTGTGGCTCCACTTGTATCTGTGACTGTTTGTGCACTGATCTGCCTAGACTGTACTGACTGTACAACCATGTAACACAGGTTGATGTTTTTCGCTTGTGCTGAAACCGCCCTTGCCCAGTTTACAGAAGGCCTGTTTGAAACTTGCTGTTGGCGGTAGTGGTATTACTCAGGTACTGTTCTTCCCCATTGTAATGTACACGAGAGATAAATCATGAAATGTAAAACTACTGTGGAAAATTGTCTGTTTTCCTCTATGCTGTGTAACATATTTTGGTTTCACATGGTCTGTATTTGCCTGTATACTAGCTGCAGTACTCCTTTCTTTGCTAATGCACACTAGAGCTGTGGCCCTCAAGTCTGTAAACATGCTTCTTAGGTGCATATGTTAACTGTAGTAGCTTAACTATGAGATCTGAGCACCAAACGTAATGCTGTTTATTGTTTATTTTATTTTATTTGGGGGAGGGGTGTGTTTGGGGTAAAGGAACAGAAATGCATTACTTAAAAAGCAGGCAGAAATTTAAAAAATAAGATAAAAAGTGGTGTGCTGGTGGAAAGAGAATAACATTCAGACACCATCAAATGGACTTTGATGGATAGTCATGTGATAAGCTGCAGTTTATTTGGTTATCTTGCCATTGGAGGTCCTTAAACTTTAATTATGACCTTTAAACAGCCTTTAATCCTTTGTAGAGAAGCCAGCAGCCAAAATTGAGTTTCTGCAGAGTTCTGTCGGTAAAATTTGGAGGCCGAAGCTAAAATAGATATAAAAGCAGTTTTTTTGTTTAGCTGCTCACATTTCACCAAAACACGAAGCATGCCAGTTACTACCTATGTACAGATCTGATAAGTGTCCGTGTGTTGATGCGTTTTTGTCTTCTTCAGCAGCTCATGTTTTTTATTTAATTTTTCAGAAAGGGGAAAAGGAAGGCAAAGACAGGCCATTCTGGGGGAACATCCCTCCTCCTACAGTGATAACGGATATGGTGAGTCCGACTGCAGCACGGAGACTCTTCTTCGGGGCTCGGCGTCTCTGCTCCTCAGAACACGTGGAGTACCGGAGAATGATGGCCCACGTGCCTTATGGGTTTCATGAAAAATTAATCTGGGGCAAAAAAAATTAAAATGTTAAGCAGGATTCGTCTCTTATGAGTAAGAGGGGACTCGTGTGCTCTCTGAAATGCAATGTGCATTGCTCTGGAGAACCGAACCCTTATTTGCGTCTAGTTTGTATTAATCGCAGTGAGCCAGCAGAAATGACAGTCAGCGTGCCATCTTCCTTTTCCAGGGTCACACTGCCCCCTGCTGCCACTGCCCAGTAACAACAGGTATAAAATGAGCTCCCATGACATCCCCGAGGTGGTGGCCTACCCGCTGCCCCAGACGTCCTCCTACATGGGCCACTCCTCCAGCTCTGTTGCCATGGTGAGCGGCCTGCACCTCAGCAAGATGAACTGCGCCAGGGTCTTTAACCTCTTCTGCCTGTATGGCAACATCGAGAAGGTGAGGGGGGCTCGCCTTGGGTGGTCTTTCCCAGCAGAATAGCGGCCAAGACGGGGCTGGGGAGTGAAACGTCATTGACCAAAATGAGAGGAGAAGGGGTTACTTCCGAAGTGTGGATCGTAGAATTGTTAATGTTGTTGATGGTTAAAACTACAGCCCTTGGCGAGATGTGAACGAGAATGCTGGTGCTTTCAGTTGCAGTACCTTGTTTATGACATTTATGACAGCTTCCTAATTAGACTCCTTTTAGGTGGGTAAAAAGAGTGCACTAGTGCAAAGGGTTTTCGCAAGCTGCACTGTAGGTTGGCTGTGCTCTTGCCTAATAAAAAGCATTGGACAGCTAACACAGCTAACAGAGAGAGGTGGCTTCACTTGCAGGTGAAGTTCATGAAGAGCGTCCCGGGCACTGCCCTGGTGGAAATGGGGGATGAGTACGCCGTGGACAGAGCCATCACACACCTCAACAGCATCAAGGTCTTCGGAAAGAGGCTCAACGTGTGGTAGGTGTCTCCCGCTGCTGTGCACAGCACTTCTTGACATGAGGTTAATATGTCTTCCATGCCTCTGAGGCCTGCTGATCCTGGTGACCAGAAGTCAAACGTATCTTAGTAGCAGCTTCTGATTTCTCAGTATATTCCACCTTGTGTTCAGCACAGTGCAGCATAGACACACCCACCCACCAGAGACCCTGGACTCCCCCCCCCGGCTTGCGAACGAGGCAGGCCGGTTGTGGCCCCACCACGCTGACCCTGAGCTGCCGTTTCCCCTGCAGCGTCTCGAAGCAGCACGCGGTCATCCCCAGCCAGGTCTTTGAGCTGGAGGACGGGACGAGCAGCTACAAGGACTTCGCCATGACCAGGAACAACCGGTTCTCCAGCGCCGGACAAGCCTCCAAGAACATCATCCAGCCGCCTTCCTGCGTCCTGCACTTCTACAACGTCCCGCCTTGCGTCACGGAGGAGGAGCTGCAGCAGGTCAGCAAGGGCGCTCGCCGCCGGGCGCTGACTGTGACCAGGGGCTGACGAGCGCTGGTGCCCATCCACAGCTCGAACACCGGCTGCCCTTGGGACCACATCCTAAAAGCTTTCATTTCCTCTCATTATGTGAATTTCACCTGTTTTCTTTTCGTGCATGTTTCTGCAACATAATATCTCAATTACAACCGTGTCAGACATTCTCTGACTCGTCGCCTGCCGATCAGCAGACACGAGCAAAAATCTAAAGGTTATTTGACCTCTTAACAGTGTTCTCCATGACCACTTTTTTCCTGCACTTAACAAGAGGAAACATGTCATCTTATAATTTTAATATTTGAAGTTCACAAAGTGCTACCTCGCTAAACATCTTAAAAAGGTCCCAAGGGTTTATCCCAAGCCGTGATTTCAATTTGAACGCTTGGTTGAAATTTAATGTGGACCAGAGCACAACCTGTTGTAAACATATAAAGTTCATAGATATGTATTTCCAACAGTTTGGGATATTATTGCTCTATTACCCTAAAGAACGGCTAAACTTTCATCTCTGAGCTTGTGATTTTATTACTATATTTGAGTAGTCTGTATTGTAACGCAACGGGGGCTCAGGCAGGCGCCCTTGCCGCATTAGGTCGGCCCCCCACTGTTGTGGGGCTCGAACCCGGGACTCCCGCGTCACTCAACAGTGACCCAGCCCGGTGAGCCAAAGAGAGATCTCTCCACAGCCCAGTAGCTGTAGTCCTGCTATCACAGGGAAGGGCGGTGACGTCACCACTCTGGTAAACCGGCTCTTACACAGTGCCTGTCGACCGAAAGCGTTACAGTATGTACCTCCTACTCAAAGGGAAGAAATTTGGTATATGTGGCTGAACAGAACTGTTATCTCCAATTTTCTTCTCTGCGGCCCAGCGAAGCAGTGACCTCCAGGTAACCTGAATGGCAAGCACAATGTGTATCCCATATTGGTCTAGCTGGTGCACCCTGACACAATGCGCGATACTGTTTCTTTTTCTCAGCAAGTGACTCTTGTTTTTTTCCAGTTATGTACAGAACATGATGTGCCTGGTTTTATCAAGTTCAAGGTGTTTGATGCAAAACGTAAGTATGCCAGCTTGTCCTACTATATTGGTTATATATAATATATTGATTAATATTTAATCAGGTTTTCCAGGCCTTATTATTCAGCCTGACCTTGTTTTGTTGGCCATTGTTTAGTTTTTTGCAATAGCCAGATTATAACTTTATGACCATCATATTCCACACTGATGGAATTTGTGTTTCCATGTTAGACAACTGATTTGATTTCAAAGTGGCCTTTTCATTTCTCCCACTGTTCATATTCCAGTGAATGATCCTTGGTGAATAGATGCAGACATTATCACCGGGATCTGTTTTAAGGAAAACATACAATTTCACAAAAGACTGGTAGACTGGATATAGGTGTTTTTTGTTTCATTTTAAATAATCTATCATTCATCACTGACCGTGATCTCAGGTGACTTGAGTGTTGCATAAGCTCTGAATCACCACATTAGTGAGAGAGCTGGTTGGATACAGACAATGAGGCAATTGAACCTGGTCAAACCTGGTGAAAATCAATATAGAAAGAAATCAAAATGCCCTGATTATCAAGACATACCTCAGTTACACTACAGAACTGAGCCCCGTTCAACTGGGAGGAGCTGGAATAGAATGTAGAACATAGGGCTCAGACTACAATGATCAGGACCATGCCTGTCCATTCTCTTCAAAACACTGTGGCAGAATTGCACAAACGTCTCACCTAGCACAGGGTGTGCATTGCAGATGTACAGCTGGTATTGCTTCCAACATCCACAGTAGTCCCCCTGTTCATCTGTCCTGTTGATGGCAGTTTATTACAACTATCCAAACATCTAGAACACTATATTAAAATGTTAATCAGCATAACATTGTTCATCTGTCCAATAAAATGTCAGTGCACTGATGCTCACTTTAGAAAGACACTAAGGAGATGGGGTTCAGTGCACCGTAGGAAGAAGAATCTATGCATAGGGAATTAGATGTGCTGCTGTGCTATATTTCCATTTCCTTGCCTCAATGTTTATCTCTCCTCTTTTTTCTTCAGCCTCTTCCAAAACGATCTCAGGGTTGTTGGAGTTTGACACCAAGGCTGATGCTGTGGAAGTCCTGACAGTACTCAATCACTACCAGATAAGAATACCAAGTAAGCACCCTTAAAGATTAATGGAAGAGATGCAGTTTTGTCTTCCTACTGCACTGCAGGGGTTTTAGAAGTCTTCTGTCATACCAGAAAAGCTCCGATAATAGTGCAGACGGAAAATGTCATGCCTAGTTTCATTGATTTCATGCATACATGGATTTGTGTCTTTCCTTTACTGAAGGACTCGTGATTGGTGCTGTAGGTTTTAATACTGTGTAAGTAAGATATCCACCCATAAAAATAGCTGCAAGAACACTCAAGGTAAGTTAATGATCGACTGTACTCATGTATATTTAGAAATATTTCAGGGACAATATAGATTTTTTTTACTTTTTTTCGGGGTGAAGAGAAACAGCACTAAGAAACAAAAAGAGACAAGTTGCAAAAGAAAAGTTGCAAAGAACATGATAAAAATTGAACATGAATAAATTCCTCACAAGAATGTTTGTGCTTTAAAAATAAACTTTAAACTTAAAGCTGAAGAAATCAAAAGAAATTAACATCAATACCAGAAGTACATACGCAGAGCCAGGGGTTATGAAGGGTTAGAATGTAGACTAGTATGATTCATGTGAATTTCTTGGCACAGTCATCTCTAACAGCCTTAACTGGAAAGTCGGTGTTAATCCTTTTGTAAAAAACACAACAGCATACGTTCCTACTCAGACAGCCGAAACATTTTGGTGTGCACCAGGATATTATGACACGGCTTTATCGAGCTCTTATTAAGGGAGTGCTCGAAATGTGCTGTGTACAACCTGTATAGGAATGTTTGAGTGTAAGACTGAGGTAAATTTCTGGTTCTCTGTGTGTCACTTAGCAAACAGAATTTCTATATCTGTCAAAAGTGACTCAGCAATGCTGAAGTGACTTTTGACCTGGAGTTATTGAGTGCGTGCTTATCATAACAACCAGAGCGCATTTCACTCTAAGTCAGCTCCTTTGGAATAATTTGGTTAAAGAAGGGTGTTTTTTGTTTAATTGGAATACACAGAAGAAAACTGTAAAAAAAAAGATGTAGTTGTGCACACTGTCATTAAGACATAAAATTCTCTGATGTATTCTTTAAGTAGAACAATCTGGATTACAGCCCATTTGTTTGAATCCAGTTGGCAAATCAGTAACCAGAAGTTATTTGGAATCAGCTAGGGCTGTCTGCTGGCCATCTGTTGGATTTATTTATTTTACACAATAATACTGCAATAATCCTTCCAAGATGAGATGAGAAAGATGTCTCAGCCAACTGTTTTTGTGATAAAGGCTTGCAGATTCAGGTGTTTTCCACTTATTTCTTTTTCCACATTTGGTTTCTTTCAGTCTTTACTGAATGTGAAGGACTGAATCCACACAACCTAAGCAAGAGCAGCTGTTTTTGCCATAACATACTACTCTGTATCTGTCAGTTCTAATCCTGCTGTTATCATGTTTTAGTGTCCTTCAGTGTTGGACATGAAGGGTTTCTTCACAGCTGATCTGAAATGTTTATTTAGTGTTCAGATGAGTCCTTGAGAAACAAGTAATGAGTACTTTGCAGGTGATTACAGTAGGCAGAAAGGGCCATTTTTGGCTGATGCAAAAGAGTAAATATTAAGGACTTTGTTTTGCTAGCTGGTCATAAAATGCAGTGGCACCTAAAGCAGTAAGACCAAAGTATTCAGACAGAAAACTGGGATAAGGAGGATGGGCTGCCTTCATATGCCTTGTACAGTCCAGATAACAAGAGTTCGCTGTGGTTAGCAGTGTTTTGTGTTACGAGCCGGCTGTGAGTACAGATAATTCAGTTATCAGTCACCTTCAGGGCCAGTGGTTCTCAGAAACAGATTCCTGTCTGGAATGTAGACGAACCTGTAAGGCTTTAAAAGCAGCTTGCAGTTTGTGAATGAAATCTTAGACTGAAATGTTACACTGTTGTAAGTGCAGAGGGCTCATATTTGTCTGGTGATGTTGAACAAGAGAGGGGTCTTCATTCAGGTCTTGCACCTGCTTAACTTTATTTAAATAAGATGTTCTATTAATTACCCATTCGTTCACGCACCGGGAGGAGTTCAATGTCCTGAACACGGCGCTAACGTTCTGGATTTGATTTTGCAGATGGCTCCAATCCCTACACCTTGAAACTGTGCTTCTCCACGTCTTCCCACCTCTAGAGCTGAAGGGGGCACACTTGAGCAGGTTTCGTCAGACAGAAGGAGAAGCGGCAGGAGAGCCAGAGGCAGCCCTCCTGGGAAGGAATGCGATGACTTAGGAGTGGCCTTTTCTCAGCCTGCATAAAACTCGCTCAGACCGTGAAGGCAGCGGAGGAGAATACATACACACAAAAGTGCAAAACACTGAAGGTCATTTCTGTGTCACGATGATTTTCTTTTTTTTCCCCGAAACAAACTGAACTCCGAGGCAACAGACGTGAACGTGGTGACCGTTGGAAGGGTCTCGTTTTATCCAAGTAACCTCGCAGGCTAAAGCGCATTCGAAGCGATTAGTTCAACATGTTGGCCGGCCAATGGTTCTGAAAGCTGCCCACGAGGAGGTGGAGGAGGAGGAGTGTTGTAAGTGTGAATCGATGTCAGTGACGTGTGGTCAACAGTGTATTTACCAAGTTATAAAAGCTCCTTCAAGTTCGTGCCAGTAGTTGGCTGCACTCATTTGGTACCTGAATGAACAACGTGTTTATAGGCTGTAATATTTAGACATATTGTAATATATGAATGTGTATAGCACTTGAGGGGTGAGGGGCCTGGGGAAGACTTATTTAAGACCTGGTGTCTAACTTTAACAGAGGGAAATGTTTTTTTTTTGAGACGGTACTTTGATCAGTTTTAGGGACTGTGTTTGTACAATGTTTACACATAAAAGTTCATGGTTCGTGTAGTTGTCAGTGTTTTCAGTGCACTGTTTCGGTGTTTGTATTTGGCACATTGCCATGTTCTCAATGTAAGCATGACAGTCATTAAACATTTGCTGGATAACATGTTGTGTTTTTTCATCTTTGTGTGCTTACAAATCAGCCTTTTAATTTGAAATCTTAGCATTTAAATACCTAGTCTTGTGTTCACTGAATAACACATGAAACAGGTAATTAACTCATTTAAAATGTGCCTGAAATTCACTAGAGCTCAACCATTTTTTATGCAATGGTTACGTGGTGTGTTCTGGCTTCAAGTTATCTTTTGTGCATTTTACAATATCACTAGAGGACTGTCAATGCACCATTAAATACACATAAGTGTAACTTAAGCTTTCGATTTTTAACTTTTGTAACAGTGCTGTTCCTCCACATTGTCCTGAGCGTGTTGGGCCCAGGCTGTTTTGACTTAGATTGTCGAGAAGCAAAAGTGATTTAAGATAAATAAGTCTTGGTGTAATAAGACTATGGTACAGTCCTACAGGTACTGGCAGGACCCTTCAGTGTTCCAGGACTGTGCTGACATTGGTGGAAAATAATCAGTGTTCATTTATTTACAAATCTGAAACTGCAGCATATGAAATCATGAGGGTTTTGTAGAGTGACCCAATGCCTGCGGGTTTCTTTTGTGTCAACTGTTGTTGTTATTAGTAGTTTCTTGCCATATGTACATGCACATTGGAGTTCTTAATCGCGCTGATCTCTCGGGACACACACAGTACAACAGACAGCACTACACAATGTAGACAACAGGAACAATAAAAATATTGTGGAAAAATAAATAAATATGTAGTAGTAAGACTGAGAGAAAAGAAAAGGGTAGACTATGTAAAAAGTGCAGAGTGCAGATGTGTATTGAGTCTGAGGCCCTGCAGTTAGCTGTTGAGGACGCGTACTGCAGTGGGATAGAAGCTGTTCTTGAGTCTAGTGGTCCTTGCTTTAATAGTGTGTGTGGTACAGCTTGCCAGAGGGTAGGGGAGAGAACAGTTTGTGGCTGGGGTGGTTGGGATCCTGAATAGATCCTGTATAAATATCAGTGCAGGAAAAGAGTTTAGCTAGTCGTAACCTTAAGCCTTTTGATGTCTGAATGCATCGTCGTGGAAATGCTGGTTTGTGATGTTTTCGATATAGCGTGTTGGTGTTTCTAGGCTGGTTTCCTTGACAATGAGATCAACTGCAGGACCCCATCTTTTCTCAAAATTACCTTGGTAATCATGCTGGGACCAAACTTTATCCACAGAGAAAAAGAACAGCTTTGTTTAATATTAACCACACTTCATTTCAGTGTAGGGATTAAGGCGGCCATTTTGTTGTAATGCTCCTTGTCAAGGTCTCTGACCAGGACTTATTTGAAAAGAAAGGACATCAGCCAGGGAAAGGGAGCCTTTAAGTTTAGTCGCTTACTCATTTAACTTCAATTAGACTATTACTCTACAAGTCAAATCACAGTCTGTGACTTGTAAAGCAGGGTCAGGTTACCTGGTAACTGTTCTAAACACAGACTCCCAGTCTGCAGGAGGATGTGTAGGGACCCTGGAGAATTTGAAATGCTAGAAGCTTCTGAAACTGAACGGTGAGTTTGTAACACGTAATAAGAGGTGAAATGTTTTGGCATTGTTGACTGAAGTCTGGCTCAAGGTGTCTAAGAAGGGGGCCCAAATAAAAGGGTAATTCGTACTGAGAACCTGATTGCCCGGTGTTGAAATTGTGGAGTATCAGAGGAGATTTGTGTTTTTAATGAGTTCTCACCAGATTCATCTGTGTAAGTAAAGGAGATTGAGCTGTGAGCAGGTGACCAGGTGAGAGTCTTGCCCTGGTGCCCATCAGGGAGTGGAAAGACTCCAGAAACAGCCATGGAACTGTTCATCTAGAGTCCTGGGTTCCCACTGAAGATCCATCACAAAGCAGAGCTGATGTGAAGAACAGGAAGCCAGAGGGCATGCTGGGAACCATGCCTATCCAGAGCAAGCCACTGGCTGTCATCTGCCTGCTCTTAAATACTGTCACTCCAGACAGGTAGGTGAGTGGCCTTTCACTGGAGAACTTTGTTTAAAAACTGTCTTTAAAAAATGAGTCTTTCTCATGTTGCTCAAAGCTCAAGGGGTGCGGTTCTCAGATGCTTTCAAGACAGCATCAGAGGACGTAGGAAGTTGACATGAAAGAAGTTACAGTATGAAGCATCAGAAGCAGAAGTAATATTTGTCCACAGTTTTCCTGGCAGCTTTCTGAGATGTCCCCTGCTTTCATGGTTGCTGTCCCATTCATGAGACTCTTTCCGTCTTTATGATGCTGTCCTTTGCTTACTCCTGACATTTTTTTTCTTTTTAAGCGGCTGTTTTTTTTGTAGTAAAATAATTAAAAGGGAAAGTAGGCCAATCACTCTAATGATTGGCTATAAAAAGGAAGAAATCTGACTGCAGGCAGAGTCAGGTTAATTTTGAATCACCTTGCATCCCTACTGCGTACTAGACTGTTCAAGATGCTAGTTTGTATTCAACCCCTCAGCCTTGCCTCCAGAGATCTCTTTCCTCTGCTCCTAGGGGAAAAATCACCTTCATTTTCACAGGAGCACTTACAGGCTGTAGGCTACTGGCACGGGCGTTGAAAAGCTGTCTTTCTGAACCTTCCGCACACTCACATTATGCAACACTTGGAGGGTTGTTCGTATTGTTTTGTGATGCAGAGTGAGTAGAGCCCGGACTAAAAATAGGAATGTGCTGATGTGGCATCTTAACTGAGCTGCAAATCTCTGCGCACTTTGTACACCCAGTGTATCCCGGAAAAAACTAAAATGCAGAATAGATCTAAACTTCATTCCCGTTTGACAGTATTCTACTGTATTTCTGCAAACTATCTTTAAGCACAAAATTTCACAGCAAATTTTTCACAGCATAAAGGGGGCTAAAGAGAATACTTTCAACAAAATAGATTTCTTCTGGCACGATTTCGCAAATCATGAACATAAGTGGAATAATGGGTTTTATTTAAAATTCTAAAAAAGTGCCACACAGCAAAAAAAACCTGTGTTCTTGTATTTTGAAACATTTCATTTGCATTTGCATTTTTGCAGTGTAGCCAGTGGTGTGTGTATTTTTTTACATCTGCACTTGAAGTTACAAACCCGTAACTGCACACAGGGGAGAATGAGGAAGTGCAGGCAGACTCCTCCCACCCGTCCACCTTCAAACCAATACTCGTTTAACAAGTCACACAGCCCTACCGGAGCCACAGCACTGATTGGAGGAGAGATGCCGCCCTTACTGTCACCGTGTCTTTGAAAGTCAAAAAGAACCCTGGCTGACTATTCCCATGCTGTCCTTGGTGGTATTCTGCCAATAATGCACCTTTCCTCGGGAGTCCTGGTCACAGGTTGCTAATGAAATGTCCCAGACTCGAATCCATGATAAAAGAGCTCAACCTGCTCTCAGACAAGCACCATTGCCAGTGGGCCCCATGCCGTGTTAATGATGTGTGTGAAATTAGTTTCCAGCTTCCTTCCTACCCTGCTAGGAGACACAGAGGAAGAGGCAGGAATGCTTTTCCTAATGACTCTCTCCCCCCTTAGCCCCTGTCCATGTTCAGCCTGCAGGGGTGTAGGGCACAGTAAAAGAAATGCCTTAAGAATTGCAGCAGTGTTAAACATAATGAGTGACCGGCATATCATAGCATGTGTTTTTGTCTTTCTGGGAGGGTTGAAGCAGCTGATAAATCCCTTGAGCCAATCCCCTGCATAGAATCTATTTCACTCGGTGCTCTATTAAAGCATCTTGTTGTGCTCCCTTTTTGCAGAAAGAGTTGTTGGTTGATGACCAACATTTCAACATACAAACATTTGACCAGGCTAACCAGACCATTTCACCAGGCCAACCCTGAAAGGCTAATACGAACTGAAATTCTCAGTTTGTATTTTGAGGTTGTTTTTTTCTGTGGCTGATGAGCTCGTGGGTCCCTTGGTCTACCACTTTACGACCTACACCGGACTCAACAGCTGAAGAGTTGTATTCATCCCCTGCACAGAACTAAGAGTCTTTTTTCTTCCCTCAATCTCAACAGAAAAAAAAAGCCTAGGAGAGGAAAACATACCACACAGTAAGTAGGATATGCCTGAAATAGAGCCAGATGACCATCCGTAACAAGTCTGCTAATCCTGTACATTGCATAAAGGATCATTGTGCACAACAAGCAATTGCTTTTCGTGCAAATCCTGTTACTCAGTACAAAATAGCCATATGGATATATATTTTCTACAGTGAACAGTAGGTAGCCTTTGACCGAGGGCTTGAAGCATACACAAGAGCTGTATTGTGTTTCCTTTTTAATGCTTGTGACTAGGAATGGGCAACCTGATACATGTGTGAGCAGTGGTGTGGAACAGAGATTTTGCCTGTGTGTCTCCTGATGCTGATCCTGCCCAGCACAGGGGTCCCCTTGGAAGGAGCAGCTGCCGCAGAGCTGTGTAGCAGAAGAGGACTCCGTGAGCAGGTGATATTCCGGCTGTGGTCCGGAAACGAGCGTGTCTTTGTCGGGAAGCGTTGCCACAGAAGGACGTCTTTTGCCTCCAGCACAGGGGGCCTGATTTGGAAGTCTGTCATCTGTCATCGCCGTCACGTGAAAGGCCCCGGCTGTTTGATAGGCAGATGCCAGCGATCACAGAGGCTTTGAGCAGATGCATCTCTCCATACGGACGTCACTTAAATAGACTGTTTTCAGGCTTTACATGGAACTTGTTGGTTTTTGACCACCACGACCAGGCAATGGGTTTGAGACTGATGTTGCAAAGTCCCTTTCTGTATCCATTTTACACAGAGAGACCCTGGGTCAAAGCTATGAAGCGTGTTCTGGTTCAGCAATTACCATACTTTTTTCAAATAAGTAAAAAAAAACCTGCTAATGTTATAATAAAAATACTATGGGGACTCGTAAATTAGCGTCCTGAAGTATTTATTTTTACCCTCAACGTCATGGTATTGATTTATTGTTTTTAGTAAAGGGTTGTTGGAGTTTGGAAGTAGCGACCCAGCCGTGTTGTTGAAGCCGATGGCTTCTTTCAAGAAACAGCTGGACGA